GGCCCGCGGGCCGGATCTGGATGCGGAATTGCTTTTCCGTGGCCCCCTGGATAATATTTAATTGCCATTAGAACCGACCCACAGGCCACGGCCGCTTCTGCGTGCTGCTGTAACTTGTGGGCTACCGTTGCGTTGTTGGGAATGTAGTGTTGGTGCGGATGTGTTGCACGCTCTACCTCTACATTCCCCGTCTGTTCACCACCCAGATTTTGTGCCTGGTATCCCGATCCCACCTGCTCCACTCTCGGCAGCACGTCCATCTCTATCACCTGCAGGATCAGCTCCCCTCTCTTTCCATCCAGGCTCCTTTTATTCTGGCTTCAATCAGCCTGCTTAGACAACCGGCTTCAGCCCAGTGCGCTTGAATTGTTAAAGGGGGGAAATCAAAAACCAAAACAATCCAAATATACTTTATAATACCAGAACTTTAATTCATTTTTTTTCTTAATAAGTTTATTATTATAAAAAAAAATATTTATTTATTTTTTTAAACAATGTGTTAGGTCTGAGTTCAATAGGCTATGTTCATTTCAATATTTTTTAATAAATATTTAACGGCTTGAGGCAAATTTGTTTTTTGGCCATCTGTGTTTTTGACTTTTGTGACTTTGACATCCCTGCTGTAAAGGGATAATGGTTGTCATTGTTGTTGTTTTGGTAGTAAGATTAAAGACTCACTTTAATCCATCTACTCCATAAATGCATCAATCGCATTTATTATTTTAACCTCAGGTCTTGAAAATGATGGTAGTGTTAATGTGCTTAAAGTAGATAAATATTATTGTGCTAGCATTATCTCCAGACAAACCAAAGAAAGGTCTTTGGGTATTTTATAATAAAAATGTTCACTGTTAATGGTACTTTGAGCAAATCCTGTATAACAGGTGTAACTAAAGCAGCTCTTTTGCAATTACTGTAGTAGTTTTTGGCTCAGGAGAAAGACAATGGAGCAAAAAGGGAATCCACCTTTTTGCCATGCACAGATTTTTATTTTCTAATACTTGATATTCCCACAAGATGACCAGATGATCTGATTTGTGCAGCATTTTAAATTTTTTTAGGCATCCAGCTGGAGACCCAGCAGGAAACAGTGTTATTTCGTTCGGTTTTTCTGGGTATGTGTGAGGGTTTTTTGGAGGGGGAGGCGTAATGGAGACAAATTGATTTGGTCTCATCTCGGCTATTTTGTGAATTTCATTATGAAGAAACAAACTGTTGCCGTGGGCCGTTAATGAACCGACCTGCTCACTCTGTGAGCTCACGTGTCAGAGATGCACAGCAGGGGCTGCTGGGTAATGGCGTGTGGAGGTTCAACGTGTCAGCTGTGATTCAAATGAAAAGTTTGCAACAGTTCTGCAGCACACAAGTAGTTTAGGGAGTAATGGTGCATGAAAGAAAATCCTGTTGTATCCTACTGCTGTGTAGGTCTTGTTTTATTTACTCGCACTTAATATGAACATAAAAAATAAGCAACAAAGCAACTTAATTATTAAGTTTATGTGAGAACAGCAAATATTCTGAAAGTCATGCTCTTTAGATCTGACCTTATAAAGATCGGAGAGAAGCTGACCGGATTATTCCACCATTACCCTGCTTATGCGATTTATTTTTTTGTCAATCTTGCATGTTTTAGCAGAAGCTAAATTGATGCTTAAAAAAATTGTAGTGTTTGTGAGGCCACACAATGGCAGCCCACTGTTCCCCAAGGGGTTGCAGAGGTAAATTTATCTAATTTGAGATCAATAAAGTTCAGTTATTGTTATTATTTGATAGCCTCTTTGTATATGAAATAAAACCAAACATTTTTATTTATTCAGGGTTGCTTTTGTCTCATATTAGAATACTTTCTTAACTATGATAAAACAAGAAGGTAAAAGGGAATGGCAAACATGCTTTTTCCTCTTTTTTTCTCTTGAATTTGGTGAAGGTGGGGCTTCGGTTTCTCCATTTTTCTGTTGCCTCTAACTCTGCAATCTGATTTGATGCTCAGAGCAGAAATGAGCTAATAAATTCTTTGTTGCCGTACAAGGCAGCTAATTAAGACTGAGAATCAAAGTGAGCCTTTCACTTTATGGCAACAAACATAGTGAAATATTATGCAATTTCTGTGAAATTTTTGAGATAAGTACTAAATGTAAAATGGTTAGAAAAAGAGGCAACTTTTTAATTCGCTATCATTGTTTAAACTCTGTAACCTGACTATCAGTTCTTACTAATGGAGACTTCCTGATTGTTTACAGAATCAGTGGATATTCATCAGTCAAATGAGGTAGAAAAGATTCTCCTTTTATAACATTTTAATGGTGTTGTCCTACTTTATTTGCTTTATTGCTCTGAAAGATCAATTAACAGAAGTAGACTGAAAACTCTCAACTTTAGTCACTCAGCTTGAGGCCTGATTCCTGAGCAACAGCGGTATTTGACTTCTCACTGAGGTGGTTTAATTTTTTTCCTTCAGTTCAAAGCGCTCCTTTGGTGCATAAAGTATGTATCTGGAATACATAAAGACCATGAACTAGTCATCTGTCTATTTCACAGTCCGCACTGAGGAAAAGTGATTTCTAGCACTGAGCAAAGAAAGAGTGCTACTATCAAAGTACAGCTGGAGTCCCTTTTGACTTAAGGTTTGAAAGCCTGCAATTTATGTGTTGCTACTGCATAAATTCACTTCATTTCATTCTGTTTTTTTTGTTTACTTTTTTTTTTTTTTTATTCTATCAATAAGAATGAAGGCATAAGAATAGAAACCCAACTTTTGGATTAAATATGTATTTTGTACTTTTAATATGCATCTTTAATTGCTGGTGTTGCCCTTAACTGGAAAAATATCTTATTTGAATGAGTCAATAAAAAAGGTATGGTGCATGTGAAAAAGAAAACACAGTTGCATTCACTACAGAATGAAAAGCCTGTGATTCAAATTTCAATCTTGGTTAGAAACCCCCATGGGTGCGTATCTACATTGCTTTTCAATGGCAATGTACAGTAGAGAAGTCAATTAAAGATTGCTAAAATTTATAGCTGTCCATTATATATATATATATATATATATATATATTTTTTTTTTTTATCAATTATGATAAAAGTAAATTGTTTTAAAAGTATTTTCAGTTGTTTTTTCCATAACTATTTCTTGCGCTGTTTTTTTTTTATCCCAAAAAAAAGCCTTGAAGCATTCATCATTTAAAGTATCACCCCCAGCCTCGTAAAAATTAATAACATGTCAATTTATGTATTTAAAAAATCTTGATTGTGAATGTTTATTGAGACAAAAATTGAATAAAAACATATAGAGCACAATTTAAAATGTGTTTTATCACACATTTAAACTTAAATTAGAGGATTTTGTACTACCAGATGGATCATCACAATAAGAGGTCCTCCTAATTGTCAATCATTCTGGTGCTATGTTTACGTAAAGCCATCCTATGCGTTCATCCCCATTTTCACTTACCGGTGGTGAGTCTGGCATAGTGGAAATATCGCAAATCTTCGTTTTGAAAATAAGCTTGTATGAGCGACGCAAACAGCAACTTTTAAACAGAGCGTGCACGATGTGATCATGCATGCTCTTGCACACGTTTAATAGGCGTTCCCTCCTGGGAGCGGGTACAGGGTTGTACATGTGCATTTTATTTAAAAGTGAAGAGGGCGGGTCTTTTAAAAAATTCACAAAATCCTATTATAAGTTCAACTGTAACAATAATCAGCAATTGCTTTTTTTTAACACCATGGATCAGTTGAGGATTATTCACCTTTTCTATGGAATTAAATTAAGAGAATTAAATAAATCTGCAAGTTAACAAGCAGTAACAGATGGTGAGCTAACAATTAAAATGTGCAAATACAGTTTCAGTAACCTGATGTTACTTAATCTGATGAGTGTTTATACAGACTCCATCTACACCAAATGCCAGTTGGGTATAGCAGTGGAGTATGACCCATTTTATTTTAATTTATTCAGATAATTAAAGTTTTATTTTACATGATCAGCTGACTATTATCAGCTGACCATCAAAGTGTAAGGATAAAAACACAACTATGTGGTGATGTAACAACAAAATGAAACGCATCCTGATGCAGTACCACAGTGTTTATTTAACCTTTCCTTATTATACAACAACACATGGAAGCTGCAAAAGTGAAGCACGTATTTCAGTTAGATGAATGTCTCAGAAACATCAAAAGAAACTGAGTTTAATGGATTCCAAGATTAATTGAAAATCCAAAAAGTTGGTGTTTGAATATTTAAACTCCTTTTGCAAAAAGTCCATAAATCATTTTGTAGATGTGCTTGTATTTTGTTCAAACACGCTGCCTCAATGGACCTGCTAATGTGTTTTCAGACAGTTCTTAGATCTATATTAAACAAGCATCTCTAAAATTCAGATCTACAAACTTGCACACAAAATAATTTAATCTGCAAACTGAAGTCCTTGCAGCTATAGCTGGCTGGGCCTCTTCAGGAGGCTGACAAACAATCCTGAAAATAAGCAAACTATTTAGTGAGACAGTCTGTTTTAAGTGCATCTCCATTAGTGAACCATCAGGTGACATGAATAAATTTCAACATTTTTTTTTCTTATTTTAACAGTCAAGGTACATCAGCGTTTAAATGTGGGCTGGTTATTGTTTCCCCACAATTTGGTTTAAGTATATTTAGCCTTTAACAGGCATCGGATAGGTTTTCTTGGCTTATCCACCCAGTGTTTAGTACTTCCATGATAATGCAATCTGGCATTGACACATTTTTAGGTAGGTGTGAAATGATAGTGATGCTTGATATTTGGCCCAATGATAAGTACGGATCAGTCCAGCACCCTCATCGTCACTGTCTGTTCAGATCTAAACCTGATATTCCACTGAGCTGTACTCTGATATGTGCGTGTCCCAGTTCTCAGGAAAAGCTGCACCAGTCATACTGTGCATCAGGGTAAAAGTGAAGAAAAAAAACAAACACCGATTTCACTCTCTGAACCCTGTCTTCTTTTCCTCTGCAGATTTATAAACAAACGGGGAGAATCGGGAGTGAAACAGCCTTCCCTCCTTATCTTTTGAAATGGTCTCATTCTCTCTGGTTCTGTTCCAAAGCTGCATGTGCTTCACAGTCACATATCCAAGGTAAGAAGTTTTTCCTGCTGAAGATGAGTTTCTGTTTATGAGCATTTGTTGCTTGAAATCTCTGAATGTTCTTCCTGATTTTAAGTCTCTACTTCTTTACCACACTTTATAAAGCACTTTGATTTTAAGATATTCTTAAGTCTTAGCAGCAAATAAAGCATTTCCTACCAACACTAAACATTTAACCCTTGAATAAAGTTTCTTTACACACGCTATAAAAAATATGTTTTAATTGAGTCCTTTTTAAAAACCTTTATTTGTACATTTGCCAAATAGGTTTTAAATATGAATCATAAACGACTTTACACTGAGGGCTGCTGTGGAAAACTAAAGAAATAATTAGGTAGAAAAAACTACAGAAAAAGGTTTTTATATTTCTTTAGTGTATTTGCTTTAATAGTCTGGCAAATGTTTGCTTTCCTTTCATTGTTTTCTTGCATACTTGCTGAGCCTTTTAACACCTTTTATTTTAGACTCAACAGCACACAAGGTTAAGAATATCAGTTTGTATGATGCTTTTTGAGTGTACATGTTTGAATTTAGTTCAAATCAAGGTCATCTTTCTGATTTCAGTCCAAGAAGTGTTGTTTGCTTTTAGAGAGACACGTGTTGCATCTTTATGAAATGTCCACATGACTGTTTGCAATGAATACTGCTTTGTGTGACTGTGAATATAATCTGCAGGATCTGTGTGTGAAAGTGTGTGAGTGTTGGTGGAGTTGGAGTAAGTCCCAGTTTACCTTGAAGTTCTGCAAAGATCTCATGGGAAAAGTAAAGGTTAAAGACCTGCTTGAACTTGTAAAAGCTCACACACAGACAGACACACACTCTCTCTCTGGATAAGCAATAGACTTAATGCAGAGGTGCTTAAAAATAGTTTCCTCAAACCTAGATTAGAGTTGGTACATTTTCTGCATTTTCTAACCACAGTGAAAGGAGCATCTTTTCGGGGCTAGGTGACTTTAATTAATATCAAGGGAGCCTGAGGAAGTCAGATTTAGTTTTGATGCAAGTTAAAAGGCTGGGGAAAAAAAGTTAGACTGTGTGTATGTGGGGCATACTTGTGCAAAGTAAGGATATATTATTTAACTGTTAGAGGTAGTGGGAAAAAAGAGTCATTAACACTGTTTTGTGCACATAATATTTAAGGAACAGTAAAGTGTCGCCTGAGACTGTAAAATCACAATGGTTTCGTTTACTGCTGTAAATGACTTCCTTACTTCTGTATCGATAATTAATCCAGAAACTGATTATTATCCATTGTTATCCAGATGATGTGTTGAACAAGTATGGCTGTTTTTTTTTATTATTATTAAATAAATTAACAAGTTTGGAAAGATAATTAGTATAACAGGTTTTCATGCGATAAATAATCAGGTGCCTCAGCAACGGGTATTTCTTCTTAAGGAATATTTATTGGGATGAAAGCTGTAGGAGCTTTTATACGATCTATGAAAGTCGAACATCAACTCCTGTCTAGTTTCTTTCTTCTTTATTTTTTATTTTTCACTTTTTGACCAGTGGTACCAAGGATAGAGGGAATATTTTAAAAGTTAAAAACACATTTGGAAAAATATGTTTTTTTTATTTTTACTCATATGATATATAAACACTAGGGCTTCAACTAAGAATTATTTTGCAAATTGATTAATCTGTCGATTATTTTTTCAGTTAAACGATTAATAATTGAATTGCCAAAGATTCTTTAAGAAAAAGACTTTTTACGAAATTAAACCAGGTGAAACTAAAACCTTTCCACTTCAGGAGTTCTGGAAAGAGCATATTGATGGACGAAATTTATTTATTTTTTATCTCAATTGCAAAAGGTTTATATATTTTTATACAATCTTGGTAAAATTTCTGCTCTAAGTGGGTTGCTCTGTCAGCTTTAGGCGTGTTTTAGAGTCTCTATACACCAACTAACAATTCATTTATTAAATTAGTTGATGATTATTTCAATAATCGATTAATTACGATTCATTCGATTAATTCTTTTAGCTCTAATAAACACAATAAACAAATTATCCGTCCTAAACCTTGTTATCTTTACGGTCTGGTCAGTGGGAAAATCTTTGTGACATGAATTTCATTATCTGTACCTGCTTAATATAAATCTTTCAATATTCTCTCTCAGTATGACCGGTATAGAAAATCGGCACATGCACGGACATCTGGGCAGTACTTTAAGGGTTTCACCTGACAAACGGCTGCATTAAGTTAAACTCAGAGAAGTATAAGAAAAAAAACAGCCAGAAAGCTCAAAATAAATAAATACAGTTTTATATCATCTGTTGTTTTCCCCATTTACATAAATATATTTCTCAAGAACCATAAAATGCAGTTATTGCTTTGATATCCCGTTTATGAATAACTTTTCTTTCCAGTTATTTTCTTGTTGTACTGATTAGGCGGCAACAGACGTTCAATGTTGTCGACCCCTATGAGGCTGCAATTTAAACTGTGCGTCTGGAGTAGAGTGCTGCAATTCAGCAGACTTATAAATGGAACCGGTTTTAATGGCCCCTCTAGGGGGTCCAATGAGATGATGGGGCGGGGGGTTGTAATATCATTCCAAATATGTTTACTCATTGTTTTTTTATTTTGCAAACATAACTAATGACTGCTTTTCCAATGCTGCTTCCCATGCTTGATTCCGTATTATTTATTCATATGTTATTCTTAAAATGCTGTCTGAATTTTACTTCAGAAGCAAAAACGCAAAAAATGTTCTGTCTCTTTAAATGTCATGACACCAATTGTATTTAAATATAAGTGTTGCTTATGTTTCCACATTGCCAGATTTTTTACCCTCTTCATGCATCTTGCAAGTTAAGTTTCCTGTTGATTTAGCCTCATTAATGAACACCTACCTTATGAGTCGCCCTTAATTCTCAAGACCAGCAACATTCACTTTTATTGGTTTCCAAATGAATATGACAAACGTATTCTATATTATACATTTTTACAGTTTTTAATAGTTAAACTACAGGTGGTATGCTCTGCATAGCACTCCACTTATTATCCTGTAAGCAATGCAATAAAAGACAAATGTTAATGTCTTAATGATCTCAAAAACATTTCATTTAAGGGGGAAATGTCTTATTTATGTGCAGTGAGCAGAAATGATGAAACTGTGTTCGCTCTCCTAACATCTAGCTTGACAAGAGCAGTCAAAACAGTGACTTTCCTTCTATTTTTGCTTCAGTTTGTCAAACTCCAGCTGGGAATATCTTTGATATATGCCTCCAAATCAGACGCTGTCGACTTAATACGTTTGTTGTTTTCCCTTTTATTTTTCATTTTTTTCTCGAATGACAGCAGAAAAGGCTTAGCTTAGAACTGCTTTGACACCATGCAACTTTTTCTTTCATCACTTGATCTTGTTTGCAGATAACGCATTTTACTTATAGTCAGAACAAAGATCTTCATTTCTTTGTGCACTTTGTTGTTGAACACATTGATCAACTATAGACTGAATTCCTAAGAATTTAAGTCAGTATTCTGAAATAGTTAATACACTAAGTCGGTTTAAATAACACAATTTTGGTCTATCTGAGTTGATCATATTATATTACAGGGGAAAAAAGCAGTAACAAAACACAAAATTGGCATTAAATAAAAGCTTAAACAAAATAGCAAATGTGCATTTTATTAATTAATTTTTTAATTACCCTATTTTAATATTAAATACCAAGAAAAGGAAAAAAAATGACAATGGAATACTGAATAAATCAACTGTTATTCAGATTTGAAGCCATAAGTTGGAAAGCTACATTGCTTCTGTTTTGGAGCTAAATTATGACTAAATTTTAGGAATTTAAGCAGAAATCTTAAATAGTATATAGGTTTGAGGTTCTCTTATCTTGCTAGAGATCTTTGTGAGGGTTGCAAAGATTTAGTTGAACTCATAAAACTAAAGGTCTTTTTAAATATTGTACTTTGCCTTTGTTTTTGATTTCGCAATGTATTAAATACTTAAAAAGTTACTCTGCGATAATTTCTCTTTAACTTTTTAATGTTTGATTGGAATATGTGCTAAAGCAGTTGGACAAAAAAATAATCTAATGCTATTCTTTACCAAAATAGATTGATTACTAGAACGATGACACATCCAGGAATTCAGCAATGTGTCCATCCATCCATCCATCCATCCATCCATCCATCCATCCATCCATCCATCCATCCATCCATCCATCCATCCATCCATCCATCCATCCATCCATCCATCCATCCATCCATCCATCCATCCATTTTCCGTCACATTTTATCCCTGCTGGGGTCACGAGAGGTGATGGTGCCTGCCTCCAGCTCTCTATGGCTGAGAATTAATGTGTCCTTAAACACATTTTTTCACTAATCTCTTATTGCTACCTTAATATTTGAGACAGCAGCTGTTATGCATGTGGATTAAGCATCATTGGGTTACTAAGACATTTTATTGTTTAAATTGTAGAAACAAAATAAAGATGTCAAACTGTTGATATTCAGATTATTACCAAAAGAGAATTTAATTTTAACTTCTCTGGCACGTGAAAGGTATATTGGTTTTGGAAATGAAAGCTTTTCAAATGTTCTGGCTGACCTTATAATATTACAGACACAACTTCTTCCTGCCAAATTTTGGTTTCATTGACAGTCAAGTTTCACTTGCTCTGTGCTGCCAAATAAAAACACCCAACCTACCAAATACCAAATGCTGCTTCAGTTTCCTCCTCCTCCTGTCCTGCTTTGACAAGATAGAGAATCAGATGCCAACAAGCACCTTTTTCTAGGAGCCCAAGTGTCAACAAACACCCATAAAATTACTAATAAAATCAGTTTCACACTAACTCCTACGGGCCTATTTGAGAGGCTTTTCATTTGATCAAAGTTGGCATACAAAGTTTGGATGGTTTTAGAATATAAAATTAAAGTGTTTAAAAGAAAGCTTGCATAGTTCCAGTTAAAAATCATCAGAAATTATTTTGATATATTGGCTTTTTATTGTCAAAAGACAGGCA